CGCTGTAATATCTAATGAAAGAATTATAAGTAACTCGATTTGGGAGACAACCCTTTTTGGCCATGTCATCAAAAAGTTCCAAAGCCCTTTCAATTATGTTAGTTTTGCAACAACCATCAATCAAACAGTTATAAGTTACAACATCAGGAACAAAACCCTTGAAGAGCATAATTCGAAACAAGTGATTAGCTTCCCACAACCTCTTCCTAATGGCCTTCTTGCACCTAGTTCGAAGGCTATGCTTACCGTAAGAACTAATTAATATTGTGTAGGTGAATGTATAAGGGGGGCATCTAAAACCCGGCAATTCCATTTGCTCCAGCAAAAACTTAACTTTTTTGAAGTTTCCAACCCTGCAAATATCATAAATGATCGTATTATAAGCATAAACATCTGGTTTGCAATGAAATTGCTTCATCCGGTAAAATGCAGCCAATGCTTCGTTAACCAGCCCCTCTTCTGCTAGAACTTTAATCAAACATGTTGCTAACATAACTATATTATATTATATTATATGTTCTAAAAATTACATTATATTATTGCCCGTTGTAATAGTGATTTACTAACTTATTTGATGTTAGCCTATCTATACCCGCCTTGTATCATTATCTTAATATCAATTCTATATACATCAATTCAATACACTCTTTCATATTATATCTCCGTCTCTCTCTCTCTCTCTCTCTCTCTCTTTCTATGTCAGGCCTCATCTCCGGCGGTGGTCAAGGTCCTCAATTAAACCACCAATATGAGACATCGTCTCCCTCTCTGATCTTGCCCTCTCTCTCTCTGTAACTACAAAAGATCAAAACCCATACCTTTCAGTTTCCACAGAACCATCCACCGCCGTCCTCATCAACCCATAAATCAGCTCACCGCCGAGTAATAAGTCAGCCACTGCCCTCAGCCGCCATCACACACTCTCTGCTTCGGACTCATCCTCCGATAGCGGGTCATAACCCTGAACCACCGGGCCATCCCCCGATACAGACCCGTGATATCGATCCGGTTTCTGATACTCCCAGTCACCATTTCTCCGATCCCAGTGGTGCCGTCTCATTTGTCGCCGCCGCTGCTCTATGTCGACGCTGCTCTAGCCGCCGCCCACTGCCGAATCGTCCCAGTTGTTCCTCGCCTGTGCCGCGAGCCGCCGCGAATCGTCCCAAGTCTGTCTCATCAGCTCTCCAACAGCCGTCATCTCCAGCACCATGCCCTCTAGCTCTCCGCTGCTCGTCGCCAAACATCAGAAATAGCACCATACCGGGTCAAGTCTACAACTCCGACTCACCGGTCCACATCGCCAGATCACGGCCAAATCAGCCCGTCGCTCATCGCCGGTTCAGTCCAAGTCACCGTTTGTCACAGCCTCACCGGAATCGCGACTTCTTTAGTCTCAGCCTCACAGCCCAACTCAGCCTTCCATCTGTCATCCTTCTTGCCTAACCATCCATCTGTCTCACCAATCCATCTGTCTCGCCTAACCATCCAGCACGAGCAAGAGCTCATCACAGCCGAGCAAGTCCAACAGAACCACAGCCCCGAACTCAATCTCGCGGCCGCCGGATCTTTCTCGCCGGCTCTTCGCTGTCCTCTCCACCCCGAGCTCGCCGGACCCAGCCATCTCCCTCTTCGCAGAGCTTATTAGAGCCCGCCATCTTCAACAGCCGCATCTGTCCCGCGGCCGGATCTGTCTCGCCGGCCATCTCCATCCTCCCAGCCCGCCATCCTTCGTCGTCGACATCGGTCTCAAGTCGACATCGACTTTTGAAGAAAGTTCAGTCCCAACCTCTCCACAACTTCTCTCTGCCTCGCTTGAAGTGGACGAAGAACCACACAAACAACCATCAGCGATATAGAGACAGAATGAGCATGATTAAAGGAAGTGTGGGACCCCTCCAATCACGCTCACCACCAAAAATATATATATATATATATATTTGTTTACTTGTTTGGACCGTTCCAAACCCCGTTTTCAAAACGGCCCAGTTCAGTATCCAGCCCAAATCAATTTTCGGTGCTGTTCAATTCAGCCTTGGCCCAGTTTCAGATTCAAGTTTTAGGTGCTTTTGATATCCCTCTAGAACTTGAGGAGTTGTATTCCGACCAGTTTCAGTTTCCGGAGTACAACCCGCCTACTTTCTCGGCATTGATCTGGTTCTATCATGTGCTTCCAAGCGCCCTATCATCGACCATTCTATCACGTGCTTCCAAGCACTCTGTCATGTGCCTTAGTGCACCTTAAGTGGTAATCCCACTCTCGCCGTGCTCCTAAGCACTCTCAACGTGTCGAAACTTTACAATTTCGTCATCTCAAGTGGTAAATTTCACTCTATAATTCCACTCAAATATTAGCTTTCAACAGGTCAAGGCTACTATATCTGCGTAAAGTGGTCTTTATGCGCCTGTGCTCATCTCAAGTGGTTATACCACTCTATCAAGCGGTAATCCCGCTTTATCATACGCATCCGTGCACCTCTCAAGTGGTAAATTCCACTCTATGATTTCACTCAAATATTAACTTTCAAGAGCTCTGTCAAGGCTACCACACTTGTCGTAAGTGGTCTATCGTGTGCTTCTAAGCACCTCAACGTATCGGATCTTCACATCTTCGATACCGTTTTTTGCTCTAGATTTTCTCTCCAAACTCAAGTTGGTTTATGCTCTACCAACTTAAGTTTAAAGGGGGAAATTAACATAATTATATTATATTATATCTTACCATAATTACATTGTATTATAATCATCGCAATAATAATTTACTAGCCGTTTGATGTTAACCTATTTATACCGATTTTGTATCATTATCATAATATCAATTCTATATACATCAATTCAATACACTCTTTCAATTATATATATATATATATATATATCTCTCTCTCTATCTATCTTTGATAATCAACACATGTAACGGTTGAGGTAGTCACAAGTCCACCACACTCTTTCTTTGCCATTTCCTTGAGAAATTCCCAAAGGGCTTTCAATCTAGTCCCTCTCGCCAACACACAAGCCATCTCTATGCAAGTCCTCTCATTATGCGTGAACCCAAATTGGGTCTCGACCCAATAATAGAACTCCATTGCCTTTTCCAACTCTAACTCAACTTTATGGGGTCTCTGTAAGCAGCGGGACCAAGAACAAACACACCATTGGGAGCTCTATTGGATTCTTCTCGCAGATTTCTTTGTTTGAGAGGTGCTCGGTGTCTGAAACCTTTCTGACGACCACTGGATCTTGTGGGTTGGAAGAAGATTTGTGGGTATGGATCTTAGAACCTCAGAAACAGCTTCAACAGTCCATGGTTGATGGGAAGAGTGGTGGTTGAAGAAGCAAGCTGAGCAGGGTCTGTTTTGGATCATAACGGCCACTACTTGATTTAAGAGGGAAGTGTTGTTTTGATGAAGTCATCGCTTGAGGGATAATTAATTGAAGTCAACTTCTTAATTAATTAAACTATAGTGATAAATAAGCTGGAGAGCTGGGCAGAATCTAGCCTAAATTCATTATTGGTTATGAAATTATTGGTATCTAATGTTTTTGTTACAATATAATCCCTCATTTGTTTTTATAATTACAAGTGTATCCATACCTAATATTCTTCATTAGTTATGAACTGAGGAAGGCATCATTTTCCATGTGGATTGTCATTGTTGTCATTGTAAAGGTTGCTCTGCATTTATGGAATTTAAATTATATATATTTATATTTATGGAGCATGTTTATTGTTTGATAATGATTGGTACTGCGTGTTTATTATTACATGGGGTAATATAGTAAAATAATATTTTAAAGTGTTTTAAATATAAAAAATAATTTATATAATGTATCATCCACAAACGCTGCGAGAGTACTTTTGTAATAAACCCTATGGATAAAAGCCCTATTGATCAAAGCCTTTTACTATTACAATAGAAATATCGAGGGTACTTTTGTAATAAACCCTATGGATAAAAGCCCTATTGACAAAAGCCTTTTACTATTACAATAGAAATATCAAAAGGACTCTAAATGCTGTACATATTTAAGGTGTATCACTTGAAAGTTTTGACCAATATAATTTTGTTTGAAATTAATATTAAATAATGTAAAATTGCATCGATTTTGTAATTGAATATTCCTCGCAATCAATTAGTTAGTTATCTCACAAGGTAATAGGGCCTAACCCTATTGATCGGATTCATACAGATTAGGAACACTTCCAGTCCCATAGTGCGCCATTTACTTTATTTTGGATTTTGGGTCAATGAACAGTGTTTACCATGTAAAGGATAAATGGACAATTACAAACAATATGTAAGGGTTAAATGGACAATTCCAACCAATATACCGTATCATTATAATATATACCGTATTTATTATATAATAATTTAATCTTTTATATCCCTTTAATACAACACAAATAGTGCTCAGTTAAAATTTGTTCACCCAATTTTTTCACTGACGTGGCCAACTCTTGTCCACTCATTCCCAAATGGAGCAAATGGGGAACTGTGGGACTGGAGGTGATTTTCGGCTGACTCACACCCCCTTATTATTTTGATTTTTTCTTTATAATTTTGTCGAGTGTGCTATTATTGTGTTTGTAGAACGATTTAGTGTAGGAGATTCAAAGTAGCAGAAAGGCTTTGACAAAAATTACAAGTTTTCTAAAATATCTTAGTGTAGGAGATTCATTACGTATCCTTATGTGTTGTTACTTGTGGTTGAGTTTAGGACATGAAGGTTCATAATTATTGATCATTTTCAACTGGATTTCATCTTTGAACATGATTACTTTCATTTTCTTCCGAGGAGCATATGTTTTGGAAAAGGGGGATTGGACATAAAATTGAGTTAAACCAAACACATATTGAAATTCATATCCTCCCAAGATTGGTCTTGGTTTCACATCAACTGAGCTCATCCGAATTCAAATCACAAAAAAAAAGAATATAAAAAGTGGAATCACAAAAAAAAAAATAGCTAGTTGCAAAAATTATGATTTTAATGAGTCAGAGAAATAAGAAAGAGACCGTAATAATCGAGTCCCAACATAACGTCTGTTCGGAGATATTACTAATATATATAGGTACATCATCTTTCATTTTTTATGTAATTTGTAATTCATCCAGTCTGATAGTTTATTTCGTACCTATTTATATCCGTTCACTTCACACCAACCTACATCTATCGCCACAATAAGTGAATCTAAACCAACTACTACTCACACTTTACAATTAATAAACCTCACAACGTGCTTTTACACTCAACATATTTAAATTTTAATTATTTGGAGTTTGTAGCTAAAAGCTACTATCATTGGTGTTTCTAAAAGAGTAGTAGAGATCAATAACTAGAAGACCGTGGTCTGAGAGAATTCTCAAGTTACCGTAAAACAAGAAAATTGATTGTAGCATAATATACATATATTTTTTTATATCATCAAGCCCATGGCTTATTGTTATTTCTTCTTTTCATAAAGTAAAAACGAGTAACTGCTTTGAGTCTTCTGCATGCATAGTAGGAGATTTTTTCCGATAAAGAAACAAAAATGACATCTCTCGTTTCTAAAAGAGTCCGAACCCGGCCCATTCAACATCACTAACGGGTCGTGGCGATGACCGGTAGGACGAGAACGAGGCCGAAGAGGGTGAGTCACGAAACGGAGAGATGAACCTCCGAGTTGATCCGGACCACCGGGATAGGGTGTCAAGGTCCGAAGTGTAGTCGGGTTCGGACTCAAACTCGGGTTTGGGCCTGCGGATTCCCTTCTTATTGTTGTCTTTCCTTCTCAATGGTGTTGGGAAACACCCGGGCGAAACACATTCCGGTTGGGCAAGAATGGGTCTATCGAAACGGTGGCGCTCGGCCCGGTTTTGTGGGATTGAGCGGGAGGACCTGGCATGGCGCTCTGGTGGAGCTTGGAAGTACAACCCGGAAGGCGGAGGCTTAAGCTTTTGAGATGTACTAGGAAATGAACGGCTATGATCGCTTGATTGCCATTGTTGTAGTTGAAACAAGCGGTCGTGACTACTCCGCTGCCCCTGCTGTTGTTGGATCTTGGGCACACCGGGTCGGATCTCCCACTTGAATGGTACAGTTCCTTCTTTCTTAAAGGAATCATCAATAGCCATTCTTGCTAAAAAACAATTAAGGAAACAACTATAACAACGAAATCTCTCTCTCTGATATAGATTCTAAAATATATATAGATATAGATAGATGTAATGGGATGAAGAAGATGTTTCAAGTCTCGGCGAGATTGAAGGCTGGTGGGCCTATAAGAGGATCATGTGTTGATGCCATGGACTTGACAAAGCATGGAATAGGCCGAAAGTCTCGATTCAAGATGGTGAAAGGTGCTGTTTGGTGGGAAGATCCAGAGATGGAGATAATATAGTGACAAAGGTGGCCTATTACTGGTTTGACTTTTGATACAAGAAATTAATACATGATTATTTGAACTTTGAAAGGTATGGCCTTGTAAAACAAAACTTTGAAATGTCTTCTTTAATTCCCATTCTTCACGGACATTTTAAATTTGATTTTAAAAAATTAAAAAATGCATTATTTAGGATGTTACTGACGGCAATGTATCAAATAGCAATGTATACCATTATCCCAACAGTTAGGCCGTTTTTGGTCATGTTGTACCTATGCTGTAGTATAAATAATTTCATTTAAGGCATGTTTATTAAAAAGGTAATTTAAGAGTGAAACGGAACAACCAACAACGTTAATGGTAAATTATTAAAAAATTAAAAATCAAAATATACTGTTTGTTATCTTCGGTCTCCTTCCAATCTTCCTCACCGATCACTGCCTTCCTCCTTAGATTCTTTCGCTCTCAGCCCCTTTTAAATCAAAATATACAACGTTTATTTATAAGCTCCTAAAATTAAATTGAACAAAATACGGGATAATATGGTTCGTTGTTGTTTAGCTTTCTTCTCCTAAACTGTCTTCTATCGACCCTTATAAAAACTAAAATTGTTTAGCTTTCTTCTCCTAAATTGTCTTCTACCGACCCTCATAAAAACTAAAATCATTCAAGAGGCATGTTTTGTTGGTATACTCTTTGAATATTTTTAGTATTTGAAGCCCGTGCTCTAGTTTAACCAACAAAATATCAAGAAAATATTTATGTTTTAAGCATATAGAATAGAAAAGAACCAAATGAAGGGACTTACCGCATATAGAATAGAAAAGAACCAAATGAAGGGACTTACCGCGGCAGGGAAACATATCTCTTGAGTGTCCCTACTATTAGTCACAGGTTTGTTATGATTGCTCTCTAGATGTTTCAACAAACTGTTGGATACATCTTAAACAATGAGCCACTTAACAGAGAAGTTACCATTCCTAAACCATTGAGATCGGAGAGAGACCATGAGGGGAGATCGCAATTGTTGACAAGTATATTTTCATTTATATTTTTTAAACAATTTACCATTAACGTGATTTAAATAATTAGATATGCCTTTTTAATCTTGTTCAACATGAATCTCAACACGTTAAATACATTGAATCTTGTTCCCAACACTTTAAATCAATTATATACGTACATCTTTTAACCTTAATTTCTAAATCAATTGGATACACATTTTAATCTTGTTCTTAACATATTTTAATCTTTATCTCAATACATTTTAATCTTGTTCTCAACACCTTTAATCTTTATCTCAACGCCATTTAATCTTACTCTCAACACATGTTAATCTTTATCTCAACGTCCTTTAATCTTTACCTCAACGCCATTTAATCTTATTCTCAACACCTTAATTTAATTTTGTTATTAATAACTTTAATATTTACCTCAACCTCATTTAATCTTGCTCTCAACATATTTTAATCTTTATCTCAACATTTTTTCATCTTGTTCTCAACACCTTTAATCTTTATCTTAATGCAATTTAATCTTACTCTCAACACATTTTAATCTTATTCTTAACACCTTTAATCTTTACCTCAACGCCCTTTAATTTTTACCTCAACGCCATTTAATCTTATTCTCAACACCTTAATTTAATTTTGTTATCAACAACTTTAATATTTATTTCAACCTCATTTAATCTTATTAATTACTCTCAACATATTTTAATCTTTATCTCAATACTTTTTAATCTTGTTCACAGCACTTTTAATCTTGTTATCAACACTTTTTAATTTCATTTTCAACACTTTTTAATCTTGTTCTCAACAACTTTAATATTTACATTAAATGTCATTGAAAGCGTTGAGGTAAAGAACTTTAATATTTTCTTTTAATCTTTAATCTTGTTAGCAACACTTTTTTATCTTGTTTTCGACACTTTTTAATTTTGTTATCAACAACTTTAATATTTACCTCGATCAACCTCATTTAAACTTGCTCTCAATATATTTTGATCTTGTTATCAACACTTTTTAATCTTGTTCTCAACACTTTTTAATCTTATTCTCAACAGCTTAATTTAATTTTGTTATCAACAACTTTAATATTTACCTCAACCTCATTTAATCTTGCTCTCAGCATATTTTAATCTTTATCTCAACACTTTTTAATCTTATTCTCATCACCTTTAATCTTTACCTTAACACCATTTAATCCGCTCTCAACATATTTTAATCTTATTCTTAACACCTTTAATCTTTACATCAACGTCATTTAATCTTATTCTCAACACCTTAATTTAATCTTGTTATCAACAACTTTAATATTTACCTCAACCTCAATTAATCTTGTTGACAACATATTTTAATCTTTATCTCAACACTTTTTAATCTTATTCTCAACACTTTTAATCTTGTTACCAACAATTTTAATATTTACCTCAACCTCATTTAATCTTGCTTTCAACATATTTTAATCTTTATCTCAACACTTTTTAATCTTGTTCTCAACACCTTTAATCTTGTTATCAACACTTTTTAATCTTGTTCTCAACAATTTTAATATTTACATTAAATGTCATTGAGAGTGTAAAGGTAAAGAACTTTAATATTTACCTTTAATCTTTATTCTTCTTATCAACATCTTTTAATCTTATTCTCAACACTTTTTAATCTTATTCTCAACACTTTTAATCTTGTTATCAACAACTTTAATATTTAACTCAACCTCATTTAATCTTGCTCTCAATATATTTTGATCTTGTTATCAAAACTTTTTAATCTTGTTCTCAACACCTTAATTTAATCTTGTTATCAACAACTTTAATATTTACCTCAACCTCATTTAATCTCGCTCTCAACATATTTTAATCTTTATCTCAACACTTTTTAACCTTGTTCTCAACACCTTTAATCATGTTATCAACACTTTTTAATTTTGTTCTCAACAACTTTAATATTTAAATTAAATGTCATTGAGAACATTTAGGTAAAGATTAAAATGTGCTGAGAACATTGAGGTATACATTAATCGTGTTCTCAATAACATTTAATTTTGCTCTCAACACATTTTAATCTTTACCTTAACGCTCTCGACACATTTTAATCTTGTTCTTAACATATTTTAATCTTTACGTCAATGCTCTCAACCTCATTTAATCTTGTTCTCAATGACATTTAATTTTACTCTCAACACATTTTAATCTTTACTTCAACGCCATTTAATTTTTGGGAAGCATTGAGATAAAGACTAAATGTGTTAAGAACAAGATTAAAATGTGTTAAGAATAAGATTAAATGGCGTTGAGGAAAAGATTAAAGTTATTTATAACAAGATTAAAGATGTTGAGAATAAGATTAAAGAGTGTTGAGATAAAGATTAAAATATATTGAGATCAAGATTAAATAAGGTTGAGGTAAATATTAAAGTTGTTGAGAACAAGATTAAATGTGTTGAGAACAAGATTAAAAAGTGTTGAGATAAAGATTAAATGAGGTTGAGGTAAATATTAAAGTTATTGATAACAAGATTAAATTAAGGTATTGAGAATAAGATTAAATGGCGTTAAAGTAAATATTAAAGGGCGTTAAGGTAAAAATTAAATGTGTTGAGAATAAGATTAAAATGTGTTGAGATCGAACAAGGTTAAATAGCGTTGAGGTAAAGATTAAAGTTATTGAGAACAAAATTAAAAAGTGTTGAGATGAAGATTAAAATATGTTGAGAGTACGATTAAATGAGGTTGAGGTAAATATTAAAATTGTTGATAACAAAATTAAAGGTGTTGAGAACAAAATTAAGAAGTGTTGAGATAAAAATTAAAATATGTTGAGAGCAAGATTAAATGAGATTGAGGTAAATATTAAAGTTGTTGATAATAAGCTTAAATGTGTTGTGATCGAATAAGATTAAAAAGTGTGGAGATAAAGATTAAAATATGTTGAGAGCAAGATTAAATGAGTTTGAGATAAATATTAAAGTTGTTAATAACAATATTAAATTAAGATGTTGAGAATAAAATTAAATGGCGTTGAGATAAAGATTAAACGGCGTTGAGGTAACGATTAAAGGTGTTAAGAACAAGATTAAAATGTGTTGTGAGCAAGATTAAATAGTGTTGATGTAAAGATTAAAGGTGTTGAGAACAAGATTAAAAAGTGTTGAGATAAAGATTAAAATATGTTGAGAGCAAGATTAAATGAGGTTGAGGTAAATATTAAAGTTGTTGATAACAAGATTAAATTAAGGTGTTGAGAATAAGATTAAATGGCCTTGAGGTAAAGATTAAAGGGTGTTGAGGTAAAGATTAAAGGTGTTGAGAACAAGATTAAAATGTGTTGAGGTAAAGGTTAAGGGTGTTGAGAACAAGATTAAAATGTGTTGAGAGCAAAATTAAATGGCGTTGAGGTAAAGATTAAAGGTATTGAGAACAAGATTTAAAAGTGTTGAGATAAAGATTAAAATATGTTGATAACAAGATTAAAATATGTATTCAATTGAGTTAAAAGTTAAGATTAAAAGATGTACGTATACCATTAATTTAAAGTGTTGAGGACAAGATTCAATGTATTTAAGGTGTTGAGATTCATATTGAACAAGATTAAAAAGGTATATCTAATTATTTAAATCATGTTAATGGTAAATTATTTAAAAAATATCAATCAAAATATACAACCATTGCGAACTCCCCTCACGGTCTTTCTCCGATCTCAATGGTTGAGGAATGGTAACTTCTCTATTAAGTGGCTCATTGTTAAAGATGTACCCAACAGTTTGTTGAAGCATCTAGAGACGATGATAACAAACCTGTGACTAATAGTAGGGACACTCAAGAGATATGTTTCCCTGCTGCGGCAAGTCCCTTCATTTAGTTCTTTTCTATTCTATTTGCTTAAAACATAAATATTTTTTTGATATTTTGTAGGCCAAACTAGAGCAGGGGCTTCAAA